CCCTTTGTGCTTCTTAACTCTCTCTCTCTCTCTCCCCTGTCTTCCAGCCACCTATTAATTTGTTAGAAGGTCTCCATATCTGTGTGTGTTTGTGTGTAGCTTTAATTAAAGCAAAGCTCCGTGTATATATCTGTGTGGCTTCTGGCTTTTTCCAGAGTATTTTCAGTTTATTTTACGTCATATCTCCGGATGATTTTGGCCGCTAGCAGCCAGGGATATGCGACTAACCCGACCCGGCAGCGATGTTACCCGTTTGCTTTTGGCCGATAACGAACAAAAATCTATGTTCTCCTCTGTCCACAATGATACAGAGGATCCGGCAGTGGAAAAAAAAAAAAAGAGTTTTTCCCTGTCCGGATTCGAAGAGAAAAGTGAAAGGAAAGAAAAATACAGGAGAAAATAGGGTATAAGGCCTATCTAATTTTTTCTCTAACTTTTTTTCTCGGCAAATTAATATTAATAAATCATCTCACTGTATTATGGCCAAATTCAAAGCCAGCACGCAAACTCCATTATTAATATATATATCTTCATATATTTCAAATTTTATTTTAAATTTTGATTATTAATATATAATTTATTTCTTTCTTTCATCATGTTTAATTTTAAAAATTTACCCAGTTTTTATTTTTACCTTAAAAATAATATTTTTTACTAAATTATTTGGTTTTTAAAATATAATCACATGACAATATTCTTTTACCAAATCATTTGATTTTAAATTATTTAATGATGTTAGTCTTAATATGATGTTTTCATTGGAATGTTCAATTTTATTTTCGACATGATATATTTTGATATAGATATAGAGGTATTTAGTCATTTATGTATTTACTCTTTTTTTTTCTCTCTCCTCTAATCAAACAACAAGGATGATTACATTTTCTCTTCAATTTTCTCTTTTTCTATTTTTGTTCCTTTTAATTTTTATTCCTATCCAAAGGAAGCATAAAGAGTTTGGCTCTAAAGTGACGCCTCCGTCGTGACCCAATCTCCATCACATAATTTCAAGATCATTCTAGAAGAATATCAAAAACATGCTTGACAAGTTAGACGGAACAAAAAGCCAGAGTAAGGAAAACAAAACACTAATTTCTTAAAAGACCCCCAGAGAATCTGGGATTCTGGATTCATAGCACCATGCAGTATTCTAAAGCCTAGAATGATGATATTTAGAAAAATTCTAATGTTAGAATTGATCTATATATGTCATATTAGAGAAAATGTGTGTTACTGGAAGCTTCATAACCACGATGCAGGTAAAGATGTGTGGATGGGACCTCAAAACAAATTATGGGATTCATATATTCAATATGTCTTGTACTCCTTTAATCTGTATATTTCTTATTAGATTATCTAATTAAAAATAATATATTTATTATGTTATCATTGAAAGCTATTTCTAAAAGCTTGAATAGGAATAGAATTCAATTGAGATTTGTCCGTTCTTTAGGTTCCAAAGGACAAGGCGGAGTTTACGACTTTCCAAGCAAGCTTCAAAAAGCATATTCCAGTTCTATATCTCTGATCTTTAACACATGTTTGATCCATTTAAAAAACATAACCATATCTGATTGTACATGAAGCTTTTCTTACATGCTGCCTCCCAAGCTTTAGAGCAATTTTAGTTTACTTTCTAATATTCTGACATGGCGCTCCAGCTTGAATAGTAATTCAGAAGCATCAATCATAATCAGAGTTGCAACATAAAACTAGGACATTAATCCAAATAGATGTTACTTGAAGTAATTGGTTGGATTCATTCCAATAAGGTACTATCTCTTATTCTTAATACTATTATACCAGAAGATACGCTAATCCTTTGATATCTCCGCCAGTACGTATCTGCCTCCTTTTTGTGAATGAAGATGACTATATCTACTAATTTTTGTGTGATTGGACAATTTTGATTGTGAAGAAAGGTCACTTTCCTGAGCTTAACAAGTCAGTTGTTTTCTGTTATGATGACAGAGCTGAAAGCAGAGTAAGCAGATGGTTTTTTTACACAAGTTTCCACAAGAAAGTTTGGGGCTGTTTTTGCATCTCTACCGTTCCTGATATTCACTACACTGTACTGCATTCTCTTTGGATAATAGATATTACACTTGTTTTATGTGCAAGCAAAATGGAATCTATTTCCAGAAATGTTGAAACAAACAAGTTAAGTTAAATAAATTTCAGTCTATTTCTTTGTGGTTTGACTTGAAGTTAAAATGGTTTAGAATATTTTCTATTAATTTAGAATATTTAATTTCAGTGCCTTCGATGGGATTAAGGGGAAAGTTGTCTTAAAAGGCTGAGATTATTGATTAAGATAAAGCAAACCATCTTTGCATTATTGCTGAAATTTTTGAACATCAAGAGCTCATTTTAATGTGCGACAAACTATCTTTCTTTGTAGTTTAATGCACTCATAAACACCATATTCTCATGGCTGGCCATAGTGGCTTTGATCGTGGTGGTATTACTTGCCAACACGCTCAAGGTTGAAAAGTCAAAGAAAGATAGAGGGATGACATGGGGGGCAAAGTTCAAAAAGTTTATAGGAGAATATTTTGCCTTTCAATTGAAGAGTTCTATACTTTATCATTCAATTTCAATAGGATCCTTCCACCTATTTGATATTCATGAGAATGAGAACCACATATACATAAATCCTCAAGTCATGACATATATGATGAGTGATATTATTTCTTCACAATCATCCCTCAATTTTTTTTAACTTGTTTCCACTTAGGATTATAAAGCATTTGGATTCATGCTTTGTAAGTTCAATAAACAGAACATTTATGTTTCTAGCTTTAGTAACTTTTCAAAAACTCTCAAGACTATTTCTAATTTGTAGTTGCTTCTTTTATGGAACTTTCTTCAAATGTATGAATCCATGAATGTAAAGAACCTAATTTCTTATAAACGTTTGCTAAAGTATACTCTATTAGGTGAATTAAAAAAGGGGAAAAATAGAGACCTATCAGCAGGACTTTGGTTTACACTAAATGGACTATATATGGATGATATTTTTATTGTTAAATTAAACACTAGGAAGCTTTGCCATATTCTTTTTATTATTATCACTTATCACTAATCCTTGTAGAGGCCAAATATAATTTAATTCTTTTTTTAATAACATAATTTAATTCCATTTGATGATGGATTAATATTATTATCCCTTAATGACGTTTTCTCTTACAATTGTTTTAATTTTTATACAAAATGTAGGCAACTCTTAAAAAATTTATAATTATTTACAGTTGTCAAATTGATGGATTGGATTATAAAGTTTCACTTAAAATGCTTTATAAACATTAACATGACTTTATCCTTCCGAAGGATGAAGCAAGCGTGAAGAGATTATGGATGGGACCTTCAAAACATATTCGTCTACAATTTAAAAATATGTTATCCCTTTTTTTATTTGAAAATATCATATATTTTATAAATATTAAACATTATTTCAAATAATAATAATTATGAGAAACTCCTTTCCTTCTTATAAAATTAATAAATATAATCAAGAATTTATAATAAAATATAAAATAGGGGAACAATCAATTTATATTTAACTATAATTGAATAATAGATGTGTTATAACTAGTTAGCATAATGGTTGACTTTATTAAATCATGAATTCCAAAATACTCCTCCGGTCCTAATTATAAGACCCAATTGACTTATTTGAGGAGATTAAGAAAGTAAGTTAAGTTGGTTATTTATAATAAATAAGTGTTGTCATTTCTAAAATATCCTTGCTAATTAAGTATATTGGCTAAAACTCTCATTATTAGAAGGATTATCTTGAAAAAAAATACATAAATATAAGAGATAAAATGGATTGGGGTCTTATAATTAGGACCAAATAAAAAGTCAAATTGGGTCTTATAATAAGGATCGGAGGAGTATTAATGAATCAAATTTGAGTTCCATTTATGAAATAGTTTCTCCGGTCATAAATATACAATAGAGTTTATAGTACAATTTGTACTATATACTAGATACTACCTCTGATCCTAATTATAAGACTCAATTTGACTTTTAGTTTGGTCTTAAATATAAGACCCCTATCCACTTTGTCTTTTATTTTTATTCATTTTTTCCCAAATTACCCTTGCTTGTATTACATTAACTATAGTCAAATATTACCATAATAATTACTTACGGAAAAATTTTACTTCCGCTCTCCACTTGTCATTTTTGAATTAAAATTTGATTAGGTTAGTTTTAATATTTTATAAATATATTAATACACTTTTTAAATTATTAAAAAATATATAAATGACTCAAATTGTTAAATTTTAATTTATATCTGGAAAAAAAGAAAGAAAATGATAGAAAAATGAAGTCCTGGGCATTAAAAAATTGTTTTAAATTTATAAACGGGCGCATCATGACTGTAAGAAAATTCATTTTAAATCTATGAATAATTTATTTTAAAAAAATATATAAACCACATAAAAAATTGTTAGATGGAGTTTGTAAATTTGTAAATTCTCCAGAAATGATAACCGTCAAATGCCATAATGTGGTGGATTTCATTAATTTGAGGGGCTAAATAGTTCTTTGTGCACAGAATATTATAAATTCTGATGACAGTATGAAAAGCCAGAACAATAAGTAGAACTGTCAAAAATATAGAAACAACCTTTATCAAAAAAAAAAAAATAGAAACAACATCAAGAAATACCTAAGCAATTTTGAACTTCCTATATCTTATGCATTTGTCAATCACTCTAGAATATCCATCAAACAACACAGAATAAATCTTCAAGTTTTTAGAAACATAAAAAATGAAACCCCATTCTTCAATCTCAATGAGGTGGTGACCGGTGAGTTCTTGTTTTGCACCAGTTAGTAGTTGAAGCCAAATACTAGGTTGCCATTGAATCATCCAATATTGCCACAGCTATGAATTATCCAACACACAAAATTTAAGCACAATGCATACATATTAACCAAAAGAAAAAGAAAAAAAAAACAGAAGAAATATTCAAAGAAAGGAAAAATTACCTCAAATACTCCATCACTTCTTGTACTAACTTTGGATCACACTTTATTTGATTTGGTAGTGGACCTTCCTTTTCCATGACTTCTTTTCTTATATGTGGAAGATCATATTTATTAGAACCTCTGTCCTTCAAGATTTCTACCATGCAACATTGAAGTGTTAAGAATATTTTGTTAGACTTAGTGGATGGAAATGATTCAAATGATCTAATCACTGCCGCAATCAAATCATCAGTTGTTTTTGGTGTTTCCTTGTACTGTAAAGATTGTATGCCATTAAAGAAGCCAAGATCTAGAATATTCAAGTCAGGAGAATTAGGAGGTTGGTTCATCAAGCGGATGCAAAACCCATCTTCTGTGGCAACTCGATGGAACTCACCGTCATTTGGATCAATGTGACACCTTGCATTATCCTGTTGAATATAAATTGGCTCCCCTATTGAATCTCTAGGCCACTTTGCTTTTATAGCGGGCACAACATGTCCAATAAGAAACTGTCTACTAACTTCTTTGGTAACTGAAGTTATAGGCTTTGTTATCAATGAACCTGCAGGTCTATTGACACTATTTCTCTTTGCTGGCTCTTTTGTCACCAAAGGAAAGACTCCAATTTTCCTGGAGAAAGTTTCATTGCCTTTGCAGTCAAACCTTGGGCGGGCAACAGCAACCAAGAACATCACCTTTCCAATAAAGTTTTTGTTTTGCACAGTACGCAATGGATCATTTTCTATTGATAGCATGTAATAGTTCACAGTCTTTTTTGTCATATAGAATCATTTCTCATCAATGTGAACTATATTATACATGCTTTTAAAAGTTAGATCTCTTGGCACTGAACCATTTTCAATCATGGACAAACAAAACTTTAGTTGAGCAATCTTATTCTCTTCCCTCAAATATGGCTTAATGGCATTAGAGCGTCGTTGGATAACTCCCTTCTTTTGAAGTCTAACTAAAGAGGTTTTATTTATATTCAGTGCACAGGACAAATCTCGCAAGGTGGTTCTCTTAGCAAAAGGAACTTGAAGAAATTGATCAGTGTGAAGTTCAACTCTCTTGCGACCACAATTTCCTAGCTTTTCATGACATGCACCATCCCCAACCTTTGTTTTTTGCCAAATACGTTTAATGACAAAACTGGATACTGAATACATTGATGCAACCTTCTTCTTAGCCCCTTTAATTAGTTTCCCATCTTGACTATACTGCAATAGGAGATAGGAGATGGCTCTGCGGTCTTCATTACTCAAGAACCTACGATGTTTGCCTATTCCATGATACCCAATAGTACTTGCAAATTTTATTAACCAGGAGAGACAAAGTAACAAAGCATAAAAAATTAAAATTAACAAAAATGAACACAGAGCAGCTCCAAATAAGCAGAACACAGAGCAGGACATAACCTCTATATATATATATAGATATGATTACCACAAGAAGTCACAGTCTCAAAATTATAAAAGAAGCAGATAAAATCAAAAATCAGTGATGGATAGTAGCCTACACACACGCACACATATGCAAGTAATATTTGTACTGTGTATAAAGAAATACAAATAAAAATATTCCAAGTCATGCGAATACAATGTTAATCTAAAGATATAATTAGGTACCATTAGTTTTGGGTTCATGAATGTGTTCCTCCTCCATTTGATTTGGCAGTTTGTTCAGGTCCAAGAGAAACTGGCTACCATTAGTTTCAACTACATGAATGTTTTCCTCCCTTTGTTGTTCAGCGTCATGTTCAAAGTCTGAAATTTCCACTGAAGGAACTTCCATTTCTTGAGAATGACTTGGCACTTGGTTCAGGTCCAAGAGAAACTTACCTGAAAGTGATCTCTCTTAAAGGAAACAAAATTAGTAACCAAATTAATGACATAAAAGCGAAGTGATTACAGAATTAGTAATCGAACTAGTGACTTATGCTCAAAAAGTTCTTAATCTTTGATTAAGATAACAATAAGCTGTAAAGTCTTGAAATCATATTAATGCCATCACCTGTTTCGGATTCACCAATTCCTTCGCTGTTCAAATCCGAGTTTATGGGCATTGAGAGATTGATTCTCAGCAGCGACTATGTACAGCAAGCAAGTCGAATGCCATATGCACTTCCAGAGAGATAAGCTCGTAATCTTATCGGCGACAGTAGAAGCGATGATCAAAACAAAAATCTGTAAATGAATCTTAAATAAACACAATGAATCAATAAAAACACATCGACGAAGGATAGAAGTTCTTAGATTGAGGAAAATCTGAAATTACCAAGCAGAAATTGGAAATCGTAGTACAGAGAGAGAGTTGATGGTCGGATTTGGTGCTCACGGCGTGGTCGGATTTGGTGCTGTAAAACTGAGGGTTCACGTGGATTTGTGTGGTCGGATTAGGTGTTGGAGAACTGAGGGCTTGCGTGGTCAGTAAAGGGGCTCGCGATCGGCAAGGGTATTTTCAAAAATTTGATGAGGGTATTTTTGGAAAACAGGTGCTATTTTTTAACTATTAACTAATCTAACGAACTTCCTTAATCTCTCCAAATTAGTCAACTGGGTCTTATAATTAAGATCGGAGGTAGTATTATATTTAGGATGGGAGGCAGCATGTATTAAATTCATATTAAATTAGTTGTGCATAGAAACTGACAGGTGAAGGTTTGTCACCTTGATAGATATAGCATCATTTTGGCAAATAATTTAGCAAAGTCCCCTCATTTTATGGAGGTAAATATTTGCATCCTTATCAGCCTCCGCTGTTATTATTGAAATAAAATGGATGTTGATTGAGGGGTTTAGGTTGTAATCTTGAAGGTTACTCTCTCTCTGTCTCTGTCTCTCTCGTTTTATTGAAATACAATAAAAAAAAAACGTATTAAACATTAATATTTTGTTTGATTTGCTTTGTTACAATGAGCTGAATTCGCCGATGTGGGAGATTCACACCGTTTGACTTGGTATTAAAACATTGACAAAAAATAAAAAGAAAACTCAGTTTCAAATTACCGAATTTCAAACAATTTGAATTTCAAATTGGATTTGGTTTGTTTATAATGGTCAAGAAAAAAATCACAAAAATTTATTGAATAAACAAAAATAGTGTACATAACTAATTAATCCCTGGCCGGGAAGCGTGAACGATAACATGAGTCTTTAAGGAAAGAATTACCCCGTGGGTTGTCCATTCTTTCGGGTATTCACTCAAAAATCATTGAATTGAAAAAGGCGACTTGGCCTAAACCTTACCCTCTGACTATGGTCACTATGTATTCTATTTATTCCTCTGTTCATAGGTATTTCATACATTATCCAACTCTTAACTTAGTGGAAAGCAGCAAGGAGAGCAGCAGTTATTAAGGAAACAATAACTCTTAGGCAAGGAGTAGCCTCTTCCGAGATGCAAATCATAGCTATCAGTTCAATCATTAGCTAAAGGGTGAAGTCCAAAGCTTACAGAAATCGATTTCTAGAATTCATTGCATCAGGAACAGAACTCCCAGCTTTCGTGTCTGGAGGTAAATTCACTAAAGCAAGCGCTCTTCGAAGAGGTTTATTTCGAGTAAGCTTGTTACATTGCATCAAGGCATTTTTTTTACGAGTTTTTTTGAATTGGGTAGGACACTTCTCTTCTTCACCCAAAGAAGCCTGGGCTTGAGGGTCATACAACCCATTAATTAAGGGTTGTTTACTTACTCCCGACCCTGACCCTGAATCAAGGTGTGGTAGCTTCTTATACCTAAAAAAATTTCTGTAGCTGCGCAATTCATAAAAAATTACAATTACTAATATAAAATTAAAAATAGTCAAATTAGTGACCTTCAGATTTTTGGAATTATTATGAAACACATAAATATGAACAATGTAAACTATTTTTTAAAAAAATACAGTTGAGACCCCAGAATTTTCTTTTCCCAATTTTAAATATTTCATATAGTTTTAAAATTTTGTATTATTCAATAGAAATATTTCAAAAATTATATATTCTTTCCTCTATCTCCTCTTAGGGTGCCCTGACCCTCTCTGCATCCCAATGAAGGGTAAAACAGTCACTCCATTTATTAGACGAAGAGTGCATTAAAAGAGAATGCTTCCCTCCTATGAGGATCTGTTTGGCTCAATGGAGAAAAGAAAGAAAAGGGAAGAGATTTTAATAAAGGGAATGAATTGAACAGTGAGGGGATGAGAGAGATTTTAATATTATCTTGTTTGGACTAATTAGAAGGAAGAGGACGGGATGAATTTTAATGTTATCTTATTTGATTTAGAAAGGGAAGGGATGAAAAATATTTTTATAAGGATAATTTTATCCTTGTTCTGTTTAAGTTCTTTTTATATTCCAACTTTCATAATGTTTAATAAAATATAATATTAAATTACATATAGTATATAAAAGTATCATTTATAATTATACTTACAGCATGTATACCATAATAATTGTAAATATTATAACCATAATATATAAATACACACAATAATAACTAAACTTAACATACACGCACACTCATAACTCATTGAAAGAATCAATTTTTATGGCATTGTTGTTAAGAATTTTTCGGTATAATTAGTTAACTGTCAATTTTTTAGTTAACAATTTTTGCTTGATATTGATCGGAGCATTTTGACACTAAAATACAATTTTAAACTTTTAATGTTTTAATTTAAAATTTCCATTAATAAATTTTAATTAAAAAATATTTTTTAAAAAATTTGATAGTTAAATGACCGCAAATAAATATATAACTGTATACAAATAGGGTGAGCCAGATTAGAAGAGAAAGAAAGGCAAAAATGTAGGATGAAAATATTAAACATAATAATGAACAATTTACTCAAAACAAGATAAATATATACTTTTTCCTTCTAAATCCCTCCAATTTTGGAGGAAGAGTAATAAGCCGAGGAGAGGGAAAACTTTATAAAATTTTTCCTCCCCTTCTACAAATTTTGGATTGCCAAACAAAGGAAGGGGAGCAAAATCCCTCCCTTTCCCTTCAAATTTCTCATAGCAAACGCACCTTTACTAAGTTCCACATAAAGTCTTGAAACTTCCTAGCTTCTTTCCAATGACCCTACTTGTGATTTTGTGAATTATGGCGCCGTTGGCTTCCATGATGGTAGCCATTGAGGAATGAAATGGAAGGTCTTTGGGTGGATTTGTCATTCTGCATTCTATTAAAAAAAAAAAAAGTAAGCTCATCGACCACACCAGAGGGATTTACACAGCAGCTTTGAACCAACACAAACACAGCCATATTTAGGGGTGTTTAGGTAAAAACAAAATTATAGTTTTACAAATGTTTTTACAGTATACAAAGTAAATATGTAAAAAAGTTTATCTCGATTTGTGAAAAAATGCTCCTGAGAAACATTTAGCCAAACAACCCCTCATTTCCTTGTGTACTATTTCCTTGTTTATTCATTTTCATGCCTTTCTTTGCATACTTTATATCTGCACTTTACTTTGCTCTGAATTCCTTTCCTTCCACCTTTTTCCTCTTTCCTTCTGTTATTACTATTATTTTTTTTCCCTTTCGTCTCTTTGTTTCTCTTCTTGTGCGCCCGCCCTGTCAGAAGCTTCAGCCTTGAACAATGGCGGACAATGTCCATGCACCTATGGATCAGCTTCAGGACCTTGAGTACTGCATAGACTCAAATCCTCCGTGGGGTACGCCTCGCTCTCTCTTTCTATAATCTCATTTGGGTTTTGTTTGTTTCTGTTTTCCACGCTTAAAGAAATGTGCTTTGTGGGTCTCTCTCCCTCTATTGTTTTGGCGTCTCTT